AGGAGCCCAGCGGGGCGCATATAGCTCTAGCTATGGGGCCAGGGAAGGACAGGGAAGGCGGGACGGCACACATCAGGGAGGATGACTCAAGGCTCATCGACCGCCAGTGGAGCAGTCTGCTGGGAGATACCGGGAAGGATTGCGGAGTTCAGCGGGGCACCCCAGCACCAGGAGAGACAGGGCAGACACTGCAGAACCCCCATCCCGAACATCTCCTGCCCTGGCCACCCTGCTAGGGCTTTCAGCAGCAGCTCACGGCCAGGAGCTTCGAAACAGTTTGACACAGCTGCCAGGCATGACTGGCCCCGCAGCCCTGCCCCACCGCGCCCGCTGCGGTGGGCAAGTCCCAGCTCCTCTCCTGGCGTCCAGCTGCCCTCAGCCCTGTCCAGGCTCACAGCAGCCAGCGCTCACACCCACCGCACCACCCAGGCTGGCAGGGGCCTCTGGTACCGCCTGGTCCAAGCCTGTCACAAGCAGTGTCACCTGCAGCAAGGCCATGGGGCAGGTGCCACCACCACCAGCCCACTGGCATCTGCTCTCATCCTGCCCCACTCCCCAGCCATCTCAGCTCCCGCTTGTCTGGGCTGGTGCCGAATACTTCAGAGGTTTCTCCATGTGAGAAAGTGGTGTAGTCCTTGGTAAATAAACCAGGAGCCAGCAACCCACTCAGAGCAGCGAACTCGAATGCCAGTGCTGGCCCGCTCCCTCCCCAGTACCCTGTCCCAGGGGAGCAGGGTGCAGCCTGGCTCCAAAGAGGCGGCTTTCCTTGTCCTGAAGTGCTGTGACAGCTAGTGGGAAGGCAGGCAACAGTGAATAGGGTGCAAGCTCCTGGCACAAGTATAGGGCATAAACTTGGCTGCTAACCCATGTGTATCCTAGCTAGAAGCTTTTCAGAAGAAAAAAATGTACTCTTCCCCATTACTCTGTCTGCTCTGGGATGCTCTAAACTGTTCTCCAGGGCAGTGGCAGCCCTTCTCTCCTCTATGATGGTCCCAAATCTACAGAGCTCCTCCTACGACTCCTGCCCAGCAGCCAGACCCTGGCAGTCTCTCCCAGTGGCAAGGCACTCGGTGCCTGCAGAGCTGGCAGGACGGCTTCTGCAGTCCCAGACACTGCCCACAACACAGGGGGCCTGAGGAAGGAGCTGAGCAAGTACAGCTGCCCACACTGCCTCCAGATCCCACCTCACCACCTCTCTGGCACTCACACCACAACCTGCCAGTGGCCAGGAAACTTCCCCTACCCATAGCCCCTGACAGGTTCCCTGCACCCTTCCCCACCCTACCTACCAGCAGTGGACATGGCTGCGGACATGGGGAGCTCTGTGCAGACACGGGCACCGTATGAGTTATTCTTAGCTCTGTGGCTCAAAATACTCGGGAAGGCTGTGCTCAGTGGCAGACGGAGGTCACGCAAGCGCAGAGCAAAGAAAAGCATTTCAGACCCCAGAATGGGAGAGGAACCACATGGGTCTTTAAAGCAATGGGGTCAGCTGCTGACACCTCCCCATGCTTATGCTGATAGACACTGCAGGTCCTCCACGGAGGAGGAAGGGGTGTGACGAGACAAGCCAAGCCCCCAGGGCAGTTTTCCACCACAGGTGACATCCAACTACAAAATGATGCTTTCCAGTACTCGAGACACCTCTAATCCCTCCCAGGTGGGAGCAAAAAGACACTGGTTCCTGCAGGGTCCCTGACACCTTGTGCACTTTAGCGCATACTGCAAAACCCTTGGACAGCATCATTGTTGAAGTCCAGCCAAAAATCTTTGCAGAACTCTGGTTTGCCAGCTGCCCTTGCAAATCAACGGAAGTGGGGAGTTCCCTTCCTCAAAACCAACCCTGACACACGGCATCCTGCCGCATACTCATCTCGGGGCAAGGCATCACAGCCGCCCATGGCATCCCACAGTGCTCAAGCAGCTCTCAGGCCTTTCCAGCCCTCCGGATGACAAAGATCCTCGTTTCCCACAGGCTCCCCTTTTTTTACCGCATCCCTTTCTCGGGATGCGGGTTTGGCTTTGGTAGAGCATCCCGGGAGGCTGCGGTATTCAGTTCACTCGCCGCCCCGACTGGGAAGCCTCTGGGTCTCTGCGGATGCGTTACCTAATGCAAAAATCCCGGCAGACAGAAAGGGGATGGGAGGGGTAGGCATGCCTAGATAAGCTTAGAAAACAGAGGAAGCAGTCGGGGAGGAGGAGATGGACTGACCCGCACCTCCGGGTCCCCCCGGGTGCTTAACCCCATGCTGGGGGTCGGATAAGGGTGAGGATGGGGGGATGGACTTACGGAAGCTGCTGCCGCCACCGCCCTGCCCGCTTCGGCTCGGCCCGGCCCAGCCCAGCCCAGCCCGGCTCAGTACAGCCCCGCGGAAGGTGGAGTTTCGGCGGGCAGGGCGTACGAGCAAAGCCGGGAGGGCAGTGGGAGGGGGAATTAAAGGAGCAGTGACAGTTTACAGACAATGGGAGGGGATTATTCATCGATGATGGCGGTGAAGTTTTGTCTGCTGTCACCCTCTCCCAGCTCCCAGGGATGGAAGGGTGCCGCCGGGATGGGCGTGCTCTTTCCACCATTGTTCTGAGGAAAGGGTTGGGTGCATACGGAAACCGGGGCTGGAAGGAAAAGAGGAAGCAACATTCCCCTAGGAATGGATTTGCCTGTGACTGCTCCACACTGCCAGCACCGCAGCGTAGCTGGATGAAGCTCTGTACTGCACCTTGTCTCCAGGACTTGTTGACCTTCCGATGCCACGGCTGAGTACGGTGGTCCCACCGGACATCCCAGACTGTTTTTGTCCCTTCTTCCTTCCCTCGTGCCTGGGGAGACTGTGCCCGCACCATCTCAAAGTCCAGGTGGTCACGCTCAACAATGCCGCCACCTCCAGCTGCCCCAGCCTCCCTGCGTGCCCCGGCTGGCACACCCCACCACCACCAGCTGCCTCTCGTTGCTGGGTGCCAGCCCGGCCCTCTCCGGGCAGGTCCCACTGCCCTGGGGTTTTCCACAGCCACACCGGGGCTGCCCCTGCGTGCCCTCCGTGACTCAGTGACTCACGGTGCAGCTATGCTGGGTGGTGCAGTTACCAGCCGGTATGGCTACACAGGGCTTGGCACCATACCGTGGTGTCCTCTGTGGTTCAACATGGCTTTGCCTGGCATGGCATGGCTCAGCATGGATTGGCACAGCTGGCCTAGTGTGGCTTAGCCCAGCATATCTGACACGGCCTAGCCTGGCATGAGCAGCTCAGCTCAGCCCAGCCCCATCTCAGGAAAGAAGCTCTGTATTGCCATTTTTTTGGTGCCAGGGCTGAACAGGGTCATCCTAAAGGGCGTCACCAGCCCTGGAGTTCCCTCTCCTTCCCTGGTACCTGTTTGCAGCTGGGGAGGCTGTGCCCATTGCAGCAGCTGGCATCGAGCCTGCAGGAGCCCAGGCCTCACAGGGCACCTGCTTTCTACCTCACCCCACCTTGCCCCAGGGGGTAAATCCTTCCTAAGCAGGGAGCAGGTTGCAAATGGGGCCAGGAGCCATGTCCCTTGCCTGAGGGAAGGGCAACCCAAACATTTAAAACCAGCTGTAGCATGGTCCTGCTGCTGCATGCACAAGGGACCAGTCTGGTCGTGGCCAGCACCCACTAGAGCTGCCCTATCTCTGTACAGGGGACTCTGTTAGAAGCAGCTTGTTCTGCCCACCCTAGTGCAGAGGGGGGCCTTGGGCTGCCCTGCTGGGTTGTTGCAAGGGCTGCTGGAAGTATAAGGGGGTCCCTGCTGGGGACATTATTTAGCTCTGCATGGAACTGCAGGCAGCACTGTACTTTCAAAGAGCAAGAGGCCTGTAGTGCCAGGGCTTGTTCCTGCTTTGGGTTTGTGCCCATCCTTGTGATCCTCTTGTCCTGTTCAGCTCCTGCCTTATTACCCTTCAGTGGCCTCCAAAGCTGCTTTCACAGATCCATCTCCTGGGGCAGGAGACAGCTCCTCAATAATCCTGTCACAAAGGTTGTCCTATGTGCTTTTCTCTGTGCTTGGAAGCTGTTTCCCTAAAACACCTGCAAAATCTCTATGCAATTTCCTTGTTTCCTTCCCTCAAGCATTCCTTTGCAGTAATAGCTCCAGGGACTTTGGCAGCAAGCACAGTTCTTCTTTCTGTCTGCAGTTCTTTGTTCTCCAGCATTGCCTCTTCCCTTGTCCTTTGGTTGTGGGCAGGAGGGTCTTTTTGTCCCCTGCCGGTGCTGTACTTCTGGCACACGAATCTACGGGGCCTAATCACAGTGAGACAGGGACGGAGCTGGGGTCACTTGTCCATCTCTCAGCAGCCCACGCCAGGCCTCGCCTCTCCATTGTGCCATCCTCCAAGCAACGAGCAACGGCCACTGTGCACATTGTACGTAGCACAGCACCCAGCAGGCTCCCGGGAAACACGCCAGATCCAGCCTGCACAGAGAGCAGAGAGAGCAGCCTGGGGGCTGGCTGCTTGCTGCCTGCCCCAACACTCAGGGGAGCGCTGACATATGAGCAGCATCATGATTTGGGAAAGAGCTCCTCAGTGCTCCAGGGGTATTGCACCCCTCACACTTTCCCAAAGGCTTTAGCTGTCCACCCAAACCAGGTGTCCAGGTTTTGAACGGACAGGGCAGGAGTGGCTCTGTAACTTGCTACTGGAACAGTACAGGTGGGCTGACATGTAGCTTGAGACTACGAGAGAAACTTCCTTACCACATCATTCCCAAACCACCTTCTTCCATCCCAGCCTCAGTGCACACAGCTCCCTCTCTACCTGCCTTTAGCAGCAAAAGCTCTGATGCCTCTGCAAGTGAGAGGGAAAGCTGTTCATGCTGGAGAGCCTATGAGCCATGGCTGCGCTCCTGGCAGCAGGGCAGGGCTTGTGTTCCCACTACTCCCCCCTCCTCCTTTTGCACCACGCATGCTCCTGCAGCCGCTGGGGTCCTCTCCTCCCAGGTCCCAGCCCCCAACCCCCTCCACAAAGAAAAGATTGCACAAACAATAGCTCCTTTTTTTCCTTTTTTCTTTTGTACACAAATATATACAGGGTATTATACACATCTCTACACAGACAGTGCCACTCAGAACACACAGCTCTCTGTGGGCAGGGCCCCAACAGCTGCAGAGGCAGCCCCAGAGCATAGCCGTACCTACAGAGACCATCCCAGCCCTCTGCTGGACCAGGAGCAAGGGCAGTAGGTGGGTGTGAGAATAGGGAAGCAGGATCAACAGCCCCCTTGCCCCAGCCTGTGAAGTGGACCGGGAACTCTCAGCTCACATGCTCATTTCATTCCTGACCACTACTTGGAGGGGACAGGTGACTCTCACCACGCCCCTTCACACCCATATGTGCTCCAGCCCCAGCTAAGCCCTGGAGGCTGGTGTGGCCTGCCCTCCCCATGCACTGAAGACCCACATCTCTCTTCTGTTCCATCCACCCTTTTCTCTGGGCCTGGGATTCCTACAGAGGTCTTGTACAGGAAAGGCAGCTATGTCCTCCCTGGAGCAGTCCCCCCACCTGCTCTCTGTGGGTCTGGCTCCCTTTCCTCTAGTGGGGGGGCACAGGGGAGAAAAGCTGTAAGATGTGACCATCGTTCCTGGCAGCTGAGGTGGGCAAGGCTGACACTTCACTGGTTCTGGTCGATTAAAGTGCTTGGAGCTCCAGGGCCAGCACGGGTGATTGAAAAAGTAAATGACTGTCCCCTTTCACCCAGCCCCTCAGGCCCTGGAGGGCACAGCCCCAGGGAGCTGGTGCAGCACCCACAGATGACAGGCAAAGGGAGGGTGATAGTGTCCGCAATGAGCACCAAACAGGATGGTGGCAGGATTCGAGGGAAATAAATATAGCTAAATAGCAGAGGAATTTATTATTTTCCTTTACATTTTACACAAGGGGAGGGGGGGGGGGAAGCAATTGAGGGCAACTGATACTGACCAGAGACAACCTCACAAAGTGTCTTTAAACAGGGTCAGTCCTTCTTCCATGTGCCAGGGCCTCCAGTCCACCTCTCCCACCCATCCTCTTCCCTGCCTGCTTCTGGGACACAGCTATCAACAGGGAGAGGGCAAGGGCAAGAGGTAGGAGAGGAACAACCCCTCTCTCAGGCTGGGTGGTGGCAGGGGAGCCTACACCAGTCAGGGCAGGTGAAGAAAGTCAGTATAGCCCCATGAGGCTTTTGTGCTCCTCAAGATGGTAGTCTTGGCTGGAGACAGCTCCTAGGGGCTGCTCTCCCAGGGCTCCCTCCCTCTCTGACCACCTCAGCTGGGGGAAGACCCTGCAGCAGCTCAGGAAAGGAAACCCATGGGGCCTCACTGCAACCAGGAAGTGCTGATATTGCAGGGTGTTGAGGGCCCATAGCCTGAGACCCTTTCTCCCCTCTCCCTAGCACCCAGGAGACCCCCACACAGCCCCCCCACCCCCCAAGCCTGACCCTGCTGTGCAGACACAGGGCAGCAAAAGGGGGACTGCAGTACCACATGGGGGTCAGGTTGATTTGTTTGAAAGGGGAGTAAAATGTGCAAAGAAAAATGCCACTTTAAATGATGCTGCAAACCCCTGTCCTGGGGGAAGAGGGAACAGGACCTGGGGCTGAGGCTGCCTGCGCCTCCTCCTGCTTGTAAGAAATGCCCTCAGCATCCCTCACCCTGCGAGGGCTTGTCCAGCTCATGCCAACCCAGTGCCCCTTCCCCAGCGTGATGCTACCCTTGACCATGAGGCCAGGCTGTCACCATCACCATCCTTGTGGTGAGGGGGAAGCCTGTCACCACCCCCGGGCCTGGACCAGCTCCTGGGATGCTGCACCAACTGGATGCTGGAAGCAATTGAGAAAGGGCACAGGCAGGCACAGGGAGAAGGTGCAACAAAAGCCAACCCCACCCTGGGTGGGGTTTCCAATAGACTGACTGAAGTTTTTCATTTATCACCTTCCTGTAAATCTAATAAATTATTAGTGTTTCTCACCTGCAAGACAGGGAATACAGTTGCCTGCCCAGAAGACTCCAAATATTCCCCTTATGCCCCTTCCCACAAAGCACCCAGCTTTCCTCCTCCCTGCAGGTCCAGGGCAGCACTGCGGGGGTTACGGTCCCTCTCCTCCCCAGCCTCTGGGAGTCTGGGGTCCAGGGATGCATTGAAGAAGGTAGCTAGTAAAGAGCATGCCTGCCGAGCAGCCGGGCTGGCGCAGGGGTGGAGGGGCAGGGAAATGGAGAGCTTGCAGCAGGGTCCCTGCCCTCACTGAAGGCAGCGGCCCTGGGCGGCGGGAGGGTGAGGGCAGTAGCCAGCACCCTCAGGTGCCTCTTCCCAGGTCTCCGTGCGCACAGCCTGCCCTGCTCCTGGGCCGCCTTCCCCTCCCGCCCTTTGAGGTCCCTACTGGTGGATCTCATTCTCTATCAGGCTGTCCTCACACGACTGGAAATCTGTGTCATTCATGCCATCTGCGTTGATGAGCTCCTCATCCTGCGATCCCTGCTCCTCCGACTCTGTTGCTTCGCCCTCCGGCGAGGAGTCTTGAAGCACTTGGGCGATGTACTTCTGTCACAGCCAGGCATGGGGCAGGGAGAGAGCAGAAACACACGTGAGTCTAGGGAACTTCTCCAGGAAGCAGAGCACAACACACTAAGCACCATGCAAAAGGCTGAGCGTGGGGATATGCTGGGAGGGCAAGGAAGTGTCCAGACTCCATGGAGTATACCAGGAAAGGTGTAAGAGTGAGGCTTGGCCCTGAAACACTGGCTGTGTTTCAAACCCCAGCATTCTGGAACAGGGCACCTGGGCTGGGAAAGCATGTGGCTTCTCAGGCTCTTTGGAGCCCATGTGACCTGGAAGACTGCACTCCCTTTTTTGCTAGTTGATGTGTCCCTGAAGCTCTGCCTGTTTTTTATAGAGAGTCTCCTTTTGGCAAAATGTTGCTGCTCTTAAGTGTCTGGAGACGAGGAAGGAGCCTGGATTACATGTGCACACCCTAGCCCTGCTCTCCTGACGAAGCAGGAGGCTCTGCTTTACCCCATCTCTGCAGCCCTGTATAGATCCCCACTACAAAAACCTTGTGGAAGGAAGCAGTTGAGTGAGCCAGTTGAGCAAAGGTGAAGTTCCAAAAACCAACTCTGGGGGTCTCAGAATGCTGGACAGGGAAGAGTCCCCAGAGCACTTCCATGGCCTTCAGGGCAATGTCCACGGAGACCCCTTTGTGTTGGCACTAGGACAAGCCTGGCGGGTTTCAGCCTTTGCTGGCGTGCAAGCGTGCAAAGATGCAGAATGAGAAGGGAGACTGACCCGGCTGGATTCACCGTCCCAGCCGAAAGAGAGACGGAAAGAAAATGCACAGCATCTGAGGAGCAGCGGGATAGAGGTGTGTGTGGGGGGGTTACACTTCATCACCCAGAGCAGGTGAGGGGCGCAGTGCCCAACAGTTGCCTCCCACCCTCACTGGGAGGATCCAGGTGCTGACTCAGAAAAATGAGAAGTGAGGAGTGAGGTACTCAGACAGGGAGTTACCTCCCCCTTTGCAAACTCAGGTAAGGAGTGTGCCAGGGCACAGAGGTGGGGATAATGACTCACAGCTGATTTGGGAGCCGGCAGATTGGTGGCAGGTCTCCCGTTCTGCCTGTTGTCCATGGCATCCACTTCTGTGTGGTCAATCTGGAGAGAAAAGGAGAAATTGAGACTGCCAGGGCAACCTACTTGTTGTCTCACCTCAGGAGCAGCATACAGGCAGCAGAGACAGCCTCATGACTATCCCCTCTGTGAAGTCAAGGCTCTGCTAAAGAGCAGGCCCAGAGCTTGTGCTGTTTTGTGGTTCAGCTGTGCTACCAAGGAGAAGGGTCCTGCACCCAACCATTCTGCCTCACCTTGTAGTTGTGAGCGCTGAGGTATTTGAAGTGCCCAAAGCAGACGTGACACAGGCAGATCACAATGGTGATCACGAGAACCACAAAGGTAAACATGGAAGTGGGGGCCAGGAACCCTGGGGCAAAGGAAAACAAAAGTGGCAGCGTCAGAAGGTCTGTGACTGCTCTGTGGCTGGAGGCTGCCAGGACCAGAGCCTGGCCAGGGAAGTGGTTCAGCAGGAGGCTAAGGGCTAGTATCCCAGCCCAATGCTCACCTGTGCGCACTGTGGAGAAGAAGAGAAGCCAGAAGAGGCAGAGAATGGGGGCTGCCACTACCTGATTCACAGCCCCTGAATGGATCTTCTTGTCCAGCTTGGCAGGCAGGTAAGCATAATACAGGTTGTATCGGTCCACGAGGTGCTTAAGCAGCATGTACATGAGCCCTGGGAGGAGGGGAAAGCAGCCGGATGAGTGGGGCATCAGCTTCATTGCTAGACTGAGAGGGAATGTCTCCCCCACATCAGCCTTCTTGCATCCCCTCCGTCTCTGGCATAGGGAGGTAGAGGGGTAGCACTTACCAAAAGGGACGATGATGGGGCAGGTGATGCTGTACGTCATGACTACAGTGAAGACACACATCATCCAAGCATAAGCAGCCCCAAACTGGAACTCGTAGGCCTGGTGCTGCAGGAGGGAATGGAGACACATCAGCAGGAGGACCCTGAGAGCTGAGAAGGCATGTGCAGCACACCCGGCTCTACACACAGCACCGGGCAAGCCCCATTGGGGTCCCATTGCAGCACTCCCCTCCCTGGGTGCAGGCCACAACCCATCCCTCAGCCCCGCTACATACTCGTTTGACGTTCCTCCGCTCGGCCGCCGAGCGGGCCAGGCAGAGGCGTATCATGTACATGAGCAAACCAGGGATGCGCAGCAGATCCATGGCATTCCCGATGAAGGCAGAGGCGATAACGTAGTTGACAAAGAAAGCCCCATTGTCTGGCAGGAACACACATCTGGGGAGATACAGCAAGAGCAAACTGCAAAGGGTGCTCCCTTTTTGCAGGGCAGCAGCTGGGAGCCCCCATAACCTTTGGATGACAAAAAGAACCACCTCTCATTGTAAACAAGGCTTTTCTGCTCAACTCCACTTACTCAAATCGCACAGTAGCTTCAGCGAGGAATTTTTTGTCAAACAACCAGCGGAAAAATACGTCCAAGCTGTGGGGGAAGAAGGCAAGAAGAAAAGATGAACCATCAGAAGCAGAGACAGACAAATGCAGATGGCAAATATGTAGAAGCTGCCCTAGAAGGATCCAAAGCTCTGACCGTAGACTGTTTTGTTCCCTGCTGGAGTGTGTCACCAGCAATTATGTAAACTGGACATTGGAAAAAAATAGAACAAAACAATGCAACACTCAAAAAGGGATGTAAAGCTTCCCATTCATGTGTGGTCTTATCCCTTTACCCTGACCCTATCAATATTTTTCCTCTCTCCTGTTTGGGCACAACATCCATGTAAGGAACAGATGACTGACTCTACAGAAGAAATTGGTTAGGCACAAAGCACCCTCCAACAAGAGATTTAAAAAATCCCTTAGAAATAAATTCCATTTTCCTCAGTTTTGATTTTTTTTATCTAAAACTATCCAATCCTCTGGCACTGGTGGAGTACAGAGCTCAACAGGCAACAGCAGGGGGATTGACTCCTCAGAAGAAAGAGCAGTCTGTTTTGTGGTCAAAATGCTAACCTCCTGAGAGCATTCACCTGCCCAAGATGCAAGTTTACATGGAGCTTTGTTGTTTTTAATCAGTTGCAAACTTGTAGTCGACCAGTGGGATTAAGGACTATTCTGCAACCATCAGAGGGTTTGTCTATTCTCAGCTGCCTGACATCACCACTGAGGGGTTGTATCTCAAATACAGAATTTAGGTGGGGTGTAGACAATAATATCATAGAATGGCTTGGGTTGCTAGGGATTTTAAAGATCCCGGACCCTACAATGTGTAAAGAATGAACTAGCACAGTTAGAGTTCCCTGTCCCCCATCCACTTCCCAGTTTTTTCTTCCTCACACTGTTCCCCTACTTGGCCCCTGTTCAGCACTAGAGCCCACACCAATGGCTAGAAGGTGATGCATCAGTGTTTCCCACAGGGCAGTTCTATAAACTCTGCAGGAAAATTTGAGGCATACACCCAAACACACTATCCCACCCGGCCAAGCAGTGCAAGTTCTGGCTTAAAGGGGGAATTAACTAGTTTTGTGCAAAATTTGGACTGAACACTGAGCACAGAGGTGGAGAATGCCTCCTTCACCAGCAGATGTAGAGTAGACTTTTCACACATACTCATCTACCATGCCAACTTTTGCATGACCACATGTCAATGTGTCTGCAGATTGAGTCAAAGTCCTAGAGACCCAGTCATGTATGGTCTGGCCTGCTCTCCCTCAACTAAAATCAAACACCAGTCTCCTAAGAGAATGGTGGCCAGGGCACCAGTACAGTGAGGAAAGGATCAGGGGTGCACCACAACCCTCCCTGTGCTCCACATCTCTGTACTTGCCTTCCTTTCCCACAGCCCCTACCTGCTCAGGCCCAGCGATGGCAGCAGTAAGACCATGAAGATGAGGAAGGTGTAACACTTGTGCATGGTTGTCCTATTCTCTCCAGACCTGAGGAGAGAGAGGCTGTTAATCTTTCATCCCACCAGCCACACAAGCTGTACTCCCAGTGGCTTCCCATCAGGAAGCACTTCCCAATGTCTAATTTAAATCCCACCCTGTCCGTTCCTAGTACATGAATACATCCCCTTTCCCTCCAGCACATTTGAAATCTGTTATCGAATCTCTGTTCTTTTCCCCTTGTCTCACAAGCAATCATCTTCCTGACCTGCAATCCCAAGAGCTGGTGACACCCTCCCCACCAGTCTCTGCAACACAGACCAGAAAACAAGTTCACATTGAGTGTCTCGTGGGGAACGTGCCTCATGAGCAACATGCTTCTAGTGTTCTGCATTTCAAGTGCCTTCCCTGGGTCCAGAAGCCAGGGCAACTAAAATGATTTTCCCTTGGAACTGCTACATCTTACACATGGTACAGGCACACCATCCCTGCCTGCTCACCTGAGCCAGGACTTCCTTCTCTACTAGTATTTCTCATAGTGACCAGCCCCAACTCCTGCCAGCTTTCTTCTTGTAGACCTGTCAAGTCCTGCTCAGACAACCCAGCTGCACAACAGCAGCTAAAGACTGGCAGAACATCTCTCCACAGCAGTCCCCAGGTGCCCAAGAGGTACAACATAACACCATGCTTGGAGTGGAAGACAGAAGTTCAGGCAGAAAGATCCAGCCCATGGCTTTATGCCAGTGAGACATGTCTAGCAGCCAGTGAGCTCACTAAAAAGGTAAGAACAGATGCTGGCTGTCCTTACCTGGTCCAGTGTGCTTCAAAGAAGGCAGAGTAGTATACAATGGTGGGGAGAAGAGCAGAGAAGCACCACAGCAACAGTGTGGGGAAGAACTGGGTGATGATTGGGTTCTGCAACAAAGCAGAGAAGAAATTGCACGTTACATGGTGCACCAGCTCTTGTGCCAGGTACAGTTGCCTTTGCTGATGCCGAGGCCCCAGCACTGCGACTGCCACTGCACCCTGTCCAGCTCAGCACCTCCCTCATGGTCAGGCTGACATTGTTCATCTGGGGAACAATGACAATCTCTCTCCCTATCCCCAGCCCTTGCAGGGGATGCTGTGCCTTGGGGTGATTCCTGTGTTACCCATCCTGTACCTGTCTCCAAAGTCCTTACATTGAGGTACTCCACGGGCTTGGTGACATTGAACTTGTCCATAGTGGTGATGATGATAGCAGGAGTGGTGAGAAAGAAGAGGAGGATAAAGAGGACCACATTAATCACAAAGCAGCGGATCCACCATATAAAGCCGCGGATGGAGAGGTGCTCCCTGGGATGGAGAAACAGGGCATCAGGATGGCTGCACAGGGTAGAATACCAGGTGTGGGGCTTTGCATGAACACTGCAGCTCAGCCTGGTGAACAGCACTTGGGGTGCCAGCCCAAGGCTTCCCCCGCCCAGTCAGATCAGACCTCTAGCTTAGCCAGGCTGGGCTTCAGCAAGAACAACTCACTCAGTTACTGGAGGAGCAGATGGAGAAGAAAAAGGGAGGGTGCACCCCCCCCTTTCCCACTGGCAGGGCCACTGAACCCTAGAGAGATGCTCACCAGTAGATGTTCTGCGGGTCAGGAGCATAACTGACGGTCCAGTTGGAGACATGGAGGGACTCGCTGCAGGAGGAGGCTCTGGGCTCCCCACGGCATGCACAGCCCTGGCACTTACAAGCGTTGAAATCTTTGAGGATTCTGGACAAGAGAAAGAGGGACATGCTGACACAAAAGGCAGGCAGGCAGAAGCCACCTTCTTGGGGAGGGCAGGACTATCTGCACTCACATGGCTGTGATGGTCTCATTGTGAAAGGTGACAAAGGCCATCCCCAGGGGCTTTTCATTAACCTTCTCCTTCTCTCGC